AGGCTGAGCTCGTAGATGATGATAAATAACATAGTTATGTATAATATATTACATTTCTGACTGTATATCCCTGTAATTATTACCCACTGTAGCTTTAAGGAGTAGTTTAGTTAAAAAAAAACAAACAAAAAAAAAAAACATCTAAATAATTTGTTTCATCCTGACAATTTCTTTGTGGTTGGAGTCAGTACTGCACCAACTTGTTGTGCACCACATACCAAAGTAAATCTTTTTTCCAAAGGATGCAGAGTTAAACTTCAAACTGTTATCATTAGTTATAAAACTAAGAAAAATAAGTATAAGGAAGTTATCATCCAGAATTTTAGAAAAATGGTCCTTTAATAGGAAAGTGCAGTAAAGCATCTGTCCTTAACATTTTTTCCAACACTACTTTCATTTTTTATTCTTAATTGTTTTAAAATGGTACTTTTACACTTTTGCTTGAGGAAAAAGCTTAAGTTGATATTCTAACTTCTACAAATAAAAACTTCTCTGTGGTGTCCTTACCTGTGGTTCTGGAGGAGGTGAAACTGTGGGTAGGGATGCTGAGTGCTGGATGGAGTGAACTCTTGAAAGTCCTCGCCTAAAAATAATAAAAATTAGGTTAAACATTTTTGCATGATTATATAAAAGCAAGAATATTTCCTCCTGTTATAAATTTAAATCTGGGAACGTCACTGTCACCGACTGCAAAGGTTGATTTCCTTATCATCATTATCCTGCTTAAACCAAGGTGCAGGTTCTCCTTTAGGATTTCCTGATAGAGTGGAGACTTCATGGTTCTATCAGTTTGTAACGGCACGTCTTCGATGCTCACCTTCTAAACGGTTCCCCCTTTCTCTCACTGGCACACTGACTACTTCCCAAAAGTCTCTGGGATTATTAAGGAGTTTGTTAAGATTCATGGGGAAAGCCTTTGTTTGGGTTTTTTCAGCTGGATGATTCATCTTAGAGTAATTTTGGTAGGTCAGTCAATCATTAATACATGTTTTCTTTCTCTAAAAGCCTTATAAATCTTTTCATTCTCTGCATTTAATCCATCCACTTCTTTTGGGAGCAGTGGGCTGTCACTGTCCGCCGTTCGGTGAGCAGTGTGGGGTTAAGGGTCTTGCTCAGAGACACATAGTGCCAGCTGTGGGGATCGAAGCGGGTATTTGCAACCTTCTCAGAACACAAGCTCACTGCTCTAATCACTACGCCAACACTCCCCATTTATGTAGCAAATGAATAAAAAAAACAGTAAATCTGTTAGCATCTATACATGTTTTACTGTGTTGCATTTCTGTGTTCTTACTCTCAGCTTGTGCCACTATGGACACACAAGGAATCCCCTCCAGACCGTCTGTTATCACATGTTTGGCGGTGCCGTGCTCCATTACATGGCTCAGATGGGGTCCGATGGCCCGAACCAGCGAGTCCGTCTCCTCCTCGCATCCTTGGCTGTTTTCCTCTTTCCCCAGAAAAGAGACCTCAGAGCCACCAGCAACAACGGTGAATGGAGTGTTGGAGTTTAACATCCGGGGGATGGCCATCTCTCTGTCAGAGTGCATCTATGTGGTGGGACCTAGAGGAGATTGAGAAGACCCAATATTCAGTTATTTGTTTATTGGTTGTAGATAGAAATTACCCTGTGTTAAGTATTTAACTTTAGATCACTAAATATTCACCTAATCTGATTTTTTAGGACTTCCTTTCCTGAATGCAGTGTTTGGTTTATTCATAAGACTGACCTCTTTTCTGGTGTCCAGGTAATTAAATCTGAGATCAGAGGTTTCCGCCCTCGAAACATCCTGCAGGAAGTCCTGCATCCCTCGCTCTACTTTCAGGAACTGGCTTTAGTCACCATACATGGGCATCTGGACAGCTGTTTTGGCATTTCCTCCACTTAAAGACTCTTTTCCTTACTGTGGCAAATTTAAAATCCATTTGCAATCTCTTGAGAACCCCAATTAGCCTCAATTACTGTTCAACTTTTCAGGCATCTTGTTCTTTAAACTCCATGTGGGATTCACCCCAAATTAAACAGTCAGTAGCACCAAACTGAATTCAACAGGTTTAAAAGCTGAGTAAAGATTTTCTTATCATTTTTATGATAGGGTTTGCTTAACACGCTTTATCCCCCCCCATCAGAACAGCTTTTTAATACTTATATCATATTCTTAGGTTCAAATATGTTTAATAAACTCACAGACTGTTGTGGTTTGTCCTAGTGTTTCAATTGACAGTATGAGTATTATATATAGTTGTTTAATTTCCAGGGATATACAAATTAGAAAGAAAAATATGCAGGAAGAGTAAAATGAGAAATATTTATGACATAGTAATGCATCCTATTTTGTTTCTTTTTTATATTTGATCATAATTCAATTTTTTCAGGTTTTGATTTTTTTATATTTGTCTTCTTTTAAAAAGATAATCAATCCTGTATTGTTCCTAGTTCAAGTAGGGATATGCTTCAGGTTTTTCTTCTTAAAGTACATGAATTCCATAAGTATCTCACCCCCTTCTCATTTAGCAGTGGTGGAAACATAATCGTACTTGGCCGGCACTTTAATGTGGCGGTATTTGCCGTGGAGGGGCGTGAATGAACATACACCGGTTAGGAGAGTATAAATAGCTCTCAGAGAGGCAGCTACATGCCTTCCCTCAGCTGCCCAGCTGTCAGAGTCTCTCTTCCTGAGCTCTCACCATGTCGACAGCAAACACAGGAAGATCAAAACACAAGCACACACACTCACCTACTTCTATCAGAGGAGTAACATTGTGGACAGACCCTGAGTGTGTATCTGAAGGGCTTTGGTTTGATCAAATCAGGGGGTGGATCAGGTAGGAAACAACAGGTTTGTGGATTTACCTGACAATAAACTGTAACTGAGATAATTAAGCTGAAATAAAAGTTTTAGGGAACACAAAGAAGCAAACTTGCTTAAGTAACAAGTCCATCTCTGCTAACTGGAGGATTTTCAGCAATCTAACCAGAGAAAGTTACCTTACCTTATTATAGGAGTCTGGTTGCTGCAGATCCAGATCAAATGATCCAAACAGACTTCTAATTCTGAAATCGTCCCGGTCAAATAAGAGCTTCCTGAGTGGAACCTACCGGCTTTCTGCCCACGCAGGTCTGTCTGATTGGCCCTCCATGTGTTTGACTTATGAGTCCCCCTGACCCCCCCCCCAACCCATCCCACACTCCACGTTAAATATGCAGATGCCCTCAGTGACACTCAGAGCTTCCTTGGTGTGTTGTTTGAGGAAAAGAAGCTCAGATCATTGACTTAATTCTAAATCTGGACCCATTCTCATCCGATTTGACACTATTTATTAAGATAAATCGAATCTGTGGATGTGTAATGTATTTATTGGTTTATTGGTAATAGTTTATTGGTAATAGTTCAAGACATGAAGACATTTTTATTTCAGAAGTGGGGTGGGGCAAGTATTTTTTAATGTAACTAACTTCAGCATGCTTGACCAACCAATCAAGGACCCTATTTAATTGCGCATCAGATGTTTGTATAGTGAGCTTCTTAGGAGTGACGGCGGTGACAGCCGATCACACAAGAAAAGACGGTGGGTCAATCAGGAGCTTGTGGGCGATCTAAACTAAAGAAGCGAGATTCAGTTTGAGCTGCGGTTTTCCGCTTGGTCCTTGTGCTCGAGGAATGTCTGTATACCGTAGCGTAAAATAATTTTTGGGCAGTAAAAAGGGCAGAGGACCAAAATGGACGTCTTAAAAAGTTCAGGGGACATGTACCCCCCGTCCCCCCCCAAAATTACGTCCATGGTTCAAGACGATTTGACATTTCTTTTTAGCAAACTTGCTTTTACATAAAGAAGACAATAAAATGCCCATTTAATGTTAATTTTATTTATTCTAGTGTGATACTGTCTCTTAACATTCACTGCTCTTCTCGTCACCATCTTGGACACCTTTCCTTTCATTCTTGCTCATATTCGTGCCACACGACACATCAGACACTTTTCTCAACCTGCTATCCTGTTGGATAGTAGCACACTTTACCTCTTTTCAAGACTTCATTGCTCTGGACTGTTGATCCCATGTACTTAAAACCCTCCAATTTCTCTGTAACCTCACAGCTTCCCCTTTAGTTCACTCATCTATTGTTTCTCAGGAGAAATCCGACAAAAACTAAAAGGCCTTTGAACCATTTTAAATATTTTTTTGTTACTTGCATAAAAACTGCTGTGGGACAATTAGCGGTGTGAAGGATTTTATGCAGCTTTCTCCTCTTTTTGCCTTTTGTCAAATTTACATTATTTTGGTCAAAAATCTTTTTAATATTTGGAAGACTAAAGGTGAGAAATGGGGAAGGAGAATAAAAAAACAACAAAAAAAGAAATACTCAAATAATTTTTAACAGTTTCTGTAAGATAGTCTTCTGGTCTTAAAATATTTTTGCCGAATTAATCTTCTGCATGTTCACTAAGCAAAATAAATGTAAACAAAAACTATTCTTTATCAGTGTCTTAGCAAAAATGAAGGTGATCAACTGCAGATGCCGTCTTTGTATATTTGACCATTGTTAACAGGGCGTAGATAAACCTCAGGAAATGGTGAAATTTTTATTATTTTCAACTGTAAAATGTTTTCAATAGCAGTTTCTGATTGACAGACTGTTATTTTTTTATGCTTTTTGCAGAAGAATACACTGTACTTAAATAATTTGCTAACATTTACTGCAATCTCAGCAGTTTTTCACAATACGGGTTCAGTCATATGGATAATAAGGATTATTCTGCGCTATTTAAGTCTAAATATGTGAGAAAAACAAACAATTTTACAACATGTCATAAAGGGGGACAGATGGACCCAGTATTTCGACGAGACAGACAGTGAGAAGTTTCAATACGTTTAATGACAAAAAACAAATACAGAGAAAAAACAGAATGCAGGCTGCGGTGGACCTGCAATGGCTGCGGGGAAAGTGGAGCTTCGCCCATGACTGGCACTCTGGTTGTGGGAGAAACACAGGTAAGTGACCACGATGATCTGACAGAAGATGATTATCCTTGTGATTCACTTACCTGGCTTAACAGTTCAGTCCATCCTCTCGGGTAAGGCAGGATCCAGTCACTGGACTGCCAATGAAATGCGGCACTGAGCCTTACAGTGTCCCCGATGCAGCAACCCCAGTGAGCAAGCAGGAGACAGATCCAGGTCAGAGAAAGAGTTCAGAACAGAACCGTTCTGAGATCCAGGATTCCGTAACAGGGGTTCCTATCAAACAGAAACAGACAGATCCAGTGTTCCTGGAATCCACAGAGCATTCAGGCAGGTTAAGAGTCCAGCAGCGAGCTCAGACAGACATGCTCAGATGGAGACAGGGGGGCCCAGGGATTGAGATAAATAGAGACAAGACCTGGTACCAGGAGAACTGCAGAACTTTAAACTGGCTCCTCCTAGGAGCCAGGATCACGGAAGTTAAAACTGGCTTTCCTCGCACTCCGAGCCATGGATTTAACTAAAACTAAAACTCAAACAAACATGAATAACTAAGATGATCTGGCCCCGATAGCTGGGCTGAACCGTATATAAAGCAGCAGGAGCAGGTGGATAAATGAATGATAATTAGAGAGTGGGGAGGGTATGGCAGGTGAATGAAGTGAATACTTAGATCAGCTACCGGGGCTGCGATCCTGACACCAAAAGTCTTGAGTTAAACATAATCTATGTGGCACTTTTTAAGGCATAGATAAAAAAAACTGCAACAGAAAAGAAAAACTCAAAGGATTAAACATTAGGGCAAACACAATTAAGCAGGTGTGTAAAATGTGTATTTACTGTAGTAAGCCCTGTGAGGTTAAAACTGTTTTTACAGCATCTGAATCCCTCACTATAACAGAGATCCATGTTTGGAGAGATACGAATGCTGAGGCCAGTATGCATCAGAGTGAAGAAAAAATACCATCAGCCAGATAAACTGTGACAGAAGTTGATTTGAAGGTTCAGCGCAGAGCACGTCCAAATGTTAATCATCCAGGTCTCTTAACTGCTGCCTCTCAGAGACGATCTTTCTGAGCACCTGCTCACCAGTTAAGCAAATCTTTCCATTTTAAGCTTGCAAACTTTAGATCTCCCCCTTCTGTAAAATCCAGTTTACTTTTGAAATACATCTCCTTTCTCAGAGGGAGTACATGTATAAAAGTCAATTTCAAAGTCAACCTTCTATGTTTAGATCAATGTAATTTAGATGTAGGATTTTACAGCTAAAAGAAACTTTAAAAATCAAAGTTTTATTGTCCAATAAACTCATTTTCTAAAGTTACAGTTTGAATTAAAATCAATCTTAACTAAAACCTTAAACATTGCTTATTATCTTTATACAGTTTCCATATTTGGCGTTTAATAAGCATATATATTGCAGAGCAAAATTAGATTTTGCTGTTATTTTAAAATGGGTTTATCATTATTTTATAAAGTTGTTACATCCCATAATCTTCCCAAACTGAAACCACCCCATGCATCCTGCTCAGCAACACTAAGCGCCGGGATCACAGTGGACAGAATTCCAGTCGAGTTCCAGAGAGAGTGGGATTTCAGGTGGACGTTCCCTGTCTCCCTGGCAACATCTGAACGGGATCTTCAGAGAGCCAATAGAGGAGAGGCTGTGCAAACAATCTGCCCACACGTCAGCGGGTTTTTCCTCACATCAGTTCCTTTGCTGTTGCCGCATCAGTTCAGCTAAACTTAGAGCTGAAAAGACTCCTGACGGCTGTTTCAGCGTCTACAGGTGTTATTTCTGTGGCGCAAACAAAATCTCTCCAGACGAGCATCTGTCAAATTAACAACTAAACCAAACTGGATCTGTATTTATATAACCCAGAAGAATCTATATAATTCCTTCTGGTCTATCCCTAAAGTGACTGGGGATCACAAACACACATTAGAGCCAGTTTTGATGTCATCTTATCTAATAACATTCTCCAATCAAATAACCCTAAACTAACTGTAAAACATGGTGGTGGCAGCATCATGCTGTGGTACTTTCTACTTACATTTGTACTTTACCTTTCAAATGTTTAAACTTGTCTTCATATCAATTAGGTGGAAGAAATTGGGACTTGTGAGATGATAAATTAGGATCAATCATAAAACAATCATAAAAGCAAATCAAAGCTGGATTTAGAATACATAGAGTTAGCCTGATAGCCCAGACTAAATGTAAGATTAAATGTTTAATATTTTATTTGTTGGAAGTGTTTTAACAGCTTGTTTCATTTTTTTCTCCCATTCCTTAAGCTGCATGGTATGTTCCTATTTGGTCAATTAGAGATAAAAAAAAAATTCTCAGTGAGAAAATTGTATAAATAAACAGTTTAGTAACTCAACAAAATGTACATAGAGTTGGTTATTTTTTTCCCCCAGGTATGAAAATAATCTAAAATGTTTAAGCAGGTTTTATTTACAGCAGACACTGAGCATTGTTCAGCTTGAAGCAAAGGAGCCATCATTACCACGTATGACCACCAGGGGGTGCATGATGAATATAAGCCGGGCAGCGCGTCCGTTCTGCTCTGGCAGTGAAGAACAGAAGGACAGCCTTGCAGCTGCTGCTCCACTCAGTTGACTCCTGTTTACTGAGGTCGTCATAGCAACGCTCAGATAGCGAGCAGCTGAGGATCCAAAGGAAGCAACAGTAAGAAAGCAGGCTGGCTGTACCATAATAATGCCAAACTGATCAAATAAGACTGACTAAGGAAAAATAAACAGAAATTCACAAAGGATTACTCAAATAAATCCATATGAAACTAGAGCTAAACTAATGGAAAGGTGAAATGCTAAAACAAATAGGTTTACTGAACTAAAAGAGAATTTGATTTTTTTTCTTTTTTTACAGAGTATTTAAACATATATTTTATACTGTAATAACAAGATGAAGATCTTTCTATATTTCTGTCAAAACAACTTTTTAAAAATATTTTAAGCAAAAAAAAAAAAAAACTTAACACTTTGAGTTTAAGCCCATGTCACAAACAAAATAGAAGAGAATTGCTTAGATTAAAATCTCCTTAACTTCTAACGAATTAAATTACTTTTACATTAAAAAACAGAAAGAAGACTATACACAATAAACTGGAAACGCACTCAGTATTAAACAAGGCACACCTTATTCCTTTATTTTAGGTTTTAAAACAGCAAAAAAAAAACAACAACAAACATATTCAGACATCTACAGAATGCCTGAAAGACCATGTTAAAAACACAGATATAGAATATCAAACCAAATTTATCATATCCCCCATAAACCCTCACTACCAGTGTTGTTTTTTAAAGCCATCTTAGATTTAGTCTTAGTTTTCAGGAGAAGAACTGTTATCATTTTTAGTCATATTTTAGTCATTACGATATGCGACAGTTTTAGTCGACTGGAAGGAAAAATTTATAATTTAGTCCAAAATTTAATATAAATAATGGAAATATTTGATGGATTTTCTGTTATCTTCATGCTTGGTTAAACCAACGTTTTAAAATCATAAACAACCAATCAGGCGGCCATTGTAGCGTTTGTTGCAAAAACAGATTAAGAAGATTATAATAATTGTTAAAACCAGACATTAAGCAGAGCATAGGGGGGAGAGCGAGAGAGATAAAAGCTGAGGTCAGGTTGGTGAGTTTTTAAACATTCATTCCCATCAGCGTCTGAACAAAACACACTCTAGCCTCTTAAATGTATAGAAAAGTAAAAGAAAAAAAAAAAAAAAGAAAAACCCAAAAAAAACATTTGATATACTAATCAGTAGTGTACTTGTAAGTTATTTTTGTGCATTTGCAACATTCTGTCATAATGTTGCATTGAAAGTTTCTACATCAGGAGTGATTCCAGGACATAAAGCAGGAATTGAAATGGTTCCCATTCTGAGTTGAAATGAAGCTAGCTTAAAACCAGGTTAAAAAAAAAAATGGTAACAGACCACCACCCGCACTCCAAGTTGAAACAATGATAATAATAATAATAAGTTGAAACAATGATAATAATAATAAGTTGAAACAATGATAATGAGAGACTCTGACTCTGTTCACAGAAATATCAGTGATGGATTCAGGGCTGAATGAGATCATTGTGACTGCATCATCAGAGTCCATCTTAGACAAAGTCTCAATGTCCGCGCCCTAACAAAGAATCCCAGCTCAGTCGGGTTGTCTGAGTGCAACCTCCAGCCTTCTCGTCACATGAGTACCCAAAGGGACAGCAGTGTTTTGAATCTGCACAGCAGTTAGCCTGGAAAATAACAAAAAACCCTTCAGTGAAAGATAATTCACATTAATTTGCCAATAAGATTACAATCCAACTTTTCATAGCTTGCACAAACGTACTGAATACCCGAACGCCATTGGAGAGTAAAATAATATTATAAATCCCACATGCTTATAATATATCCCCTTTGAAAGACCTTCTAGTTTATGGAGATATGTGCAGCGACTCTGTAGGTTTTACGCAACCAGAGGTGTGCAACTTCAAACATATCCAAAAAAACCTTTTTTTCCCCTCGAATACATTTTGTTAAAATATTTATTATGTTTTATCTTTTGCATAATTTATAGTTGACCTCTCCCACTTATTACACATGTTTTTCTTTTTGTGGAAAACAACTGTGTAAAATTTCAGATCTCTAGTCATAAGCATTAGAATTTAATTTGAATGTAATGACTAAATAACATTTATATATTTAGATTTACAAAAATTTTAATTCAAGCACCTTTTTTTTTTTTCTCCAATATTTCCAATTTTGAAGTGTGAAAGTCCACTCTGTAAGTTCGCTCCTTGTTAGTCCTTGCAGCGGTAAATAAACCCTATATTTTCAGTCCGCCTCTACACTCCCGATATATCATCGCATAGCTTATCTTATTGGCTAACAAAATATTTCAACCAAAGGTCGATTGGTCTCCATATTGGGAGCCCCAGCTGAAAATAAATATGTGAAGCATGCGCATGGGGAGGGCCTTTTTTTTTTTTCCATAGAGGAATTCTTCATAGCATTGTGGATGAATCAAAATGGAAGTTCCACTCGATTTATGGATTAAATAGATCGATGAATACATCCACGCAACGTAGATGATCTAAAGTGGCGGACATGTATCATTACAGACATGGATTATATGTTTTCATCCTTATGGTTTTGTTCTATTTTTTGGTGGAAAAAAACACTTGGTGGATTATTACGACGCTTCAGTTTATTTTTTGGGAAAATTAACTGGATATTATATTTCTGTGGTGTATTATGGACAAAATGAGCCTATTTTTACCATGTTCAGGCGTGTTTCGGATCGCCACAACAGAAAAACAAGCTAGGATCTGAAAATTATGAATTCTAAGTTAATGACAAATTAGTATTAGTTATTGGTTTTTGTAGTGTATAGTTAGCATGCATTTGAGTTGATAATCATTTTCCTTAGGATTGCCTGATTCTAAAGAGGTATAATATGCTGGATTTAACTTTAATATGAGCGTGATAGTTGATGCGGAAAGAAAAGTGACAATAATTCAGAGAAAATCTGCCGATGCTCTGAGACACAATGAACATACCCTGGCGGAGGGACAGCAGCTCCATTCAGTAGCTGAGATCTTACAGCAGGTGGATGTCTGGGGGCAGTGAAACATCCCGGCGGCGTCACATGGTACACCTGTGTCATCCTCTGCCTCTCTCAGCTGGGACTGCTCCCCTTCATTCGAATCATCAGATCCCTTCTTCTCACACGTTCCTGTCTGCATGTTGCACGTGTAGCCCTGAGGACAGCAGTGCTCGTGGTCGGCACAGCAAACTGCCTGATGACAAAAAACAAACAGTCACATCTTATTGTTAGCTAGTTTTCACCTTTATCTGTGCTGATGTAAAATTAGACGAGTTCAAACCTTCACCAACGGGCAGCAGCCCCACTCTCCACTCGGCAGTTTGCAGCAGGTCGTTCCCGATGCACAGCTGCTTTTGTTGTCGCATTTAACGTCTGTCAACGCGCTCGGCTCGTTCAAAGCGCTCAGCTTGGTGAACCAGGGAACATGGTGGGATCCTGTAGAGCAGGAGGATTGGTGGGGGTTACAAGTGTGTCCGCTGGGGCAGCAGTGGTTTCCATCTTTGCAGCAAACTGCCTGAAAAAAACAAAAACAAACATCAGGTTTCATTCTGCGCTCTGATCAAACCGCCCACATAAATAGATAGTCTCCTACCTCCGGCAGAGGGCAGCAGCCCCAGCTGTGGCTCCTCTCCATGAAGCAGCAGGTCGTGTGTCTGGGGCAGCTGGTCTGATTGTCACACATGATTTTCTCCTGCAGATTTCGGCGGGTCAGAGCGGGAACTTTAGTGAGCAAGGGCAGCGGCGGAGAGAGGCCAGCAGAGTCATCGCAGGTTTTGTTCTCCAAGTCACAAACCGATCCATGAGGACAGCAGTGGATGTGGTCGTCACAACAAACAGCCTGAAAGATAAACACATTACACATCAGGCGGTCATTTGCGAAATCTTTTAATCCTGAGCTGATTAAAAGAATTTGCTCAATTCGGTTTTAGGTTTGATTCTTTTTTGGCGATACTTTTAAGCTATATAACTTGATCTAAATCCATCAAATGCAAAAAATGCATTTGATGGATTTGACTGCTTTGATCAGGTGCAGCTTGGTTACCTCAGGCAGAGGGCAGCAGGCCCACTCCCCACTGGTCGTCTTGCAGCAGGTAGCGTCTCCAGGACATGACGACGACTCGTCACATTTGACCTTTTCAGTCAGTAGAGGGAAGCTGGGCGTGTTGGGCAGCAGCGGTATCAGTGCTGTGCCCGTAGAGCTGTCGCACGTGGAGGCGGCCAGGTTGCAGATGGTGCCGTGAGGACAGCAGTGCAGGTGGTCCATGCAGCACACGGCCTGCAGAGAGCAGAAAAAAAACGAAATGTTGGCCTTTAAACATGAATTTACAGGAAACCTGGAGAATCATGATTACATAGAATAAATGAAACAGTCTCTGAGGAGATGGAGGGTAGAAACTGACAGTACCTCAGGTAGAGGACAACAGGCCCACTTTTCTTTTGGCGATTTGCAGCAGGTGTTTCCATCAGCGCAGGCCACAGAGGCGTTACAGGGAACATCCAGGACTGAAAGACATGGAGGCAAAGTTCATCCAGAGCAAAGCGGAATAAAAATCCTAAAACACTATTGGATCCAAGACTTTTTAAAATAATTTTCTTCTTTTTAGACATTTAATCTGCTTCCAGACCCCAAAGTACTCAGGTAATGTGAGTCAAACCAGGAGGGTTTAAGTAATATTACTGCTGTTCAGCTCCACCAAAGGGCATCTTAACCACTTTAAAACGGTTTCATTTGGAATAACAAAACATCTGAAATAAAAACATGATGGACTCTCGACCACAGACACCAGTAAATGTAGAGGTTGTTACATGTTTACACATTTAGTTATACATTTTAAAAATATTTTCAAAAAATATTCTTTGGTGCGACACAGAAACCTTACGTACATATTTCCCCTGAATTTAGCTGCAGGAGGTTCCACTTCCTGTTGCTAAGGATGTGTTTTCACAGAGTTGGTTTCATTTGGTTTAAAAAAAAAAAAAAACATCTCATATCTTCTAGTGTGTTTTAATCATTAGCCACTAATTAAAACACATCCCATTCCCATTAATTTAACACATCTGGTGACCAGAAGACCAAATATTGAAAGATCTGATTATTTTCCTGTTCAATGAATGCATAGCAAATTTAAAAAATAAGCTGTATGAGCATTAAGTTGCCCTGAGTGTAGTTAAAATCAGATTAAGGTTTAAGCAGGGCTAGTTTATCTATACAGCAAGAGAAATTAAACTGTTGTACTTAAAAATAAAAAATAAAACACAAGATATGAAAAACAAAAGAAAGAAAATATTTTAAAAAAACAAAGAAAAAGTACACAGATGTGGCAACACAAATAAAGAGAATAAGGTATTATTAATTAGAAAATTGTTTGTAATAAAAAAACTGATAATAAAATGAAAAGGTTAGAATAAAAGCTTTAATAATCTTTACACAGTAGAGTCAAATACCCATCTAGATAAATGTGTTTTCAATCTTTATTTACTGTAAACCAACTGAGGGTTTAGAGCTTTTACTGTTTTTTTTTTTGTTTTTTTTTACTATTATTTTGCTCTGGATTAGTGGAGCATAAGAAATAAAATGTGTTTTTCCACATTTGGTTCTGGTTCGGTAGAGTAGATTTGAGACAGAATACCTAAGAGGTCTGTCTCTTTTGCTGCTAAGCCATTTGGTGATTTATACAGGAATGAGGAACGCTTAATTTAATGCTTTTTAATGATATTAGAAATCTTTTTAATGCTATCAACAAATACCCATGACTCTCATATATATGTATAAATATACATCTCGTTTTCCGGCCACTTTTGTTGAAATCTGCATTTTCCTATTCTCTCGTTTTTTCTCCGCCTCAAGCTTCTTCTCCGAAAATACGGCTTTACAATCAACCGGAAGCAGTTCCGCCCAAATATATTGCGATATAATATATGACAGAATACTTTTTATTTTACTTTTTTATTTCAAATATAGCATTTTAAATTTCAGGATAATCACATTCAATGAATTTTAATGCCAATTAAGGCCTTTATTTAAAAAAATAATTACTTATGGCTTTTAATGATTTTTAATGACCCCCGGAAACCCTGTTATAGGCTAATATAAGTATCTTAAATTCTATTCTCTTAGCTAAAGGGAGCAAGTGGAAGGACTTTAGAACCGGGTTGATATGCTCTACTTTCTAAGTTTTAGTAAGGATGCAGGTAACTGTAGCTGTCTGATGGACTGTTAGGACACCGTTACATTAATCATTCCTACTATATAAACAGATGAACTCGCTCTTCAAAATCATGTGGATACATTAGTCCTTTAAATATTCTTTAGGTGATAGAAGGTTGTTGCTTTCTTTATGAGCCCCTGAAGGTTCAGGTCTGAGTCCATCACTACGCCCAGATTTCAAACCTCATTGGTGGTTTCTAGCTGTATTAACTGAAGCTGATTGCTAACTTTTAAATTATTACCTCAGTTTTCTTTTAATCAAGCAAAAGAAAACTTTGTCCCATCCACGCACTGATTTCTACTTTGCATTTACCAAGGCTAGCACTTAAACATGTTCATACTGCAACATATATCTAGCGTTATCCAGTGACTAATGTTTTCTACTAAGATCCTAATTAGAGCGAACAGGTAGATATTGAATAGGAGATGAATCCTTTGAGAACACCACATGTGATTTTTCTAATCTCTGATGTAAAGTTACCTACCGGCACTTAGAGAATCATTTCTTCCCTTTTTGGTTCGATTTTAAACTCCTGCATCAATTAACAAACTTCTGCCACCATTTTTATTTGTTAAACATTTGCTCCAGTTAAATATTTTAAGAGACTCATATACGTTTATACTTGGTAGATGTTTAAAATCAAGTCCCTTCTAAAATAAGTCTAATAGTTTATGAAATTATACTGAAGTTCTGATTAAATGCAGAGTATAAAATCTACAGGTCTGCTTTAGTGGTGGTTGAGTTCTTTTACAAGAGATGTTAAACATTGGATAAAAAGCTTTAAGGACCAATAACAGATATCTAGAACCTCTTCACTGACCTTTGCTCTGCATTGGCTCCTGGTCTGTCACAGCAGCAGTAACTAACATAGGGGCAAGATCCTGGACCGACACACAGGTACTGTGTTTTAGGTCGCACTCGGTGCCCGAAGGGCAGCAATGGATATGATCTGAACAGCAGACGGCCTGCAAGACAACAGGAAGCAACTGTAACTCCCATCCCTTTAGCTACATTCCTTAGTTTTAACACTTTCGGTAATTTAAATAATGAAATTCCTCCTTTAAATGTAAGCATTTATTCTTTTTTTTTAAGGTTTCAAGCCTCATCTATGCATGTGATGAAAAAAGAAATGCAGAGATAGCATTGTAGCAGGCGTAAGTTTTGTGCACTTTGCATTTAACCTGCGACAGATTGACTTAAATGTATTTGCATGAAATCCAGGCCTGAAATTATTAATCAGATTCACTGTATTAACTAAAACAATTATAAAACAATTAAAATAGAAGCATGTTCCAATAAAGAGTAAAAAAGTCTTTTTTATATAAAGACATATATAAAGACTTTTTTATTGCCTACTTCATGATTGTTGAGGTAACTAAAGTGCTTTGATCAACATGATTTGGTTAAAAAAAAAAGTGACACACATTTTTATAACGGGTCAACATTTTTCTAATCTTGCAGCCCTATATCTGACTGTGAAGCTGTGGTGGTTTTTGTTGCATCCCATTCTTTGAGGTCATATCTGATGCTTACGTTGGGCATTGGGCAGCAGCCGAACGATCCGTTTGTCAGCTGGCAACATGTCGTTTGATCAGGACAGAAGGATCTCTTATCTGGACACTGAACTAAAAAAGAAAAAGAATATTACTTTACTCCATCTCTACATGTTCAGCATGTTCCACAGCAGAGGCGGCTCACCATCGCTGGACGCAGCAGAAACCCTCTTAATCAGCGGAAGGTCGGCCCCTCCAGACTTGCAGACTTCATGCTCCAGGTCACATGTTGTGTTGCTCGGACAACAATGGAAGTGATCTTTGCAACACGTGGCCTTCATATGACACAAGTGGGGAAAAAAATCATTATAACACCCGCAGGTTTGCTGCAGTACTGTAATACTTCTTATAAATACACTTTGGTTTATTGTTAAGGATTCCTTGTCTTAACACAAGGTTTCAAATAATAATGGAGCATTTAAAGGCAGAATTTTTTAAATGTCCATGTTTTTTCTTGAAGGCCAATCCAGCAAGGGAGGCTACAGTTCTCCATAGAAAGGAAGTAACAAAAGAAAATAATAGGACAAGAACATATAAAAAGGAGGTGGGAAGATTACACCGTAGATAGAGGGAGATGAGAAAGACAGAGAAAACAAGATTATTATTCTTCCCTCTATGTATTCTTAAAGGATTAAGAATACATAGAGGGAAACAGAAACATTAAAGAAAGGGAGAATGCGTTGAGGAGGACATAAAGGAGGGAAGAAAAGACACTTGGGAGGGGAAAAGTAAGAAAAAAGGGGGGGGTGACAAAAGAAAGTAAAGAATGAAACTGAAACATGGGCAGGATGTGGATGGAAAGAAAGGAAGAAAAGAAAACGAGTATGAAATAAATTTATGATATCAAGAAACAAAAGAAATAGTAAGACATTGAGGTAGGAAATAGAAAAAAGACAGACATAAAAAAATAGAAAGGCATGAAAAAGAGACAATTTGAATAATTTTAGGGTGGAAAGAAAGGACATAAAATGTCTACAATAAAGGAAGATTTATACGGCAAAAAACCCCATCAGAAACCCACAAATACTCAAAGAAAAAAAATGAAAATAAATACTTTTAAATACTCTCTTTATCCAGTTCTTGAAAACGATGCAATCAAATTCCACAATTTTTGTTTTGTTTAGAGAATGTTTTTGTTTTTCTTCCCCCCAGACAGACTAGAATTAGACTACAAAGAAATACAGGAGAAAAACCTGCAGAGTTTAGCAATAGTTTGTACCTAACCAGCTGATTGGTGTGAACTTTTTCTGCTTTGCTCTTTACATTAGGAGTCTAACAAATCAAAACAAAGTGGCAAATTATTTAGGATATATCAATTAGCTAATCTTCATAATGATGCTTAACAGACATACTCTTCTTCCCCTTTATCATTAAAACTGTTCCTCCAAGACAGCTTACCTCAGGGTAAGGGCAGCAGCCGTATTCTCCACTGCTCAGCTGGCAGCACGTATAACCATCTGGACAGCTGCTTTTCCCATCAGGACAAATGACAGCAACAGCAGCAGGAACTACAACAGAATCAAGGTCAGACGATCAAACATTCACTTATTCTTAATCTTTCCTGGTAGAAATCTAAACTCCGATTTGATGACGATGCGGTTTACCGACATGAACATTTCCCAACCTGGCTCATTCTTTAAACTTTTGGCTGGTATTTTTTTCAGCATCGGGAAGGACTGCAGCGATGGAGTGACACACTTTAAATGGACGAGATCACACTTCGATCCGTTGGGGCAGCAATGACGTTTATCCTCACAACAAACCGCCTGTTGACAGAAGAAAATGACACAGTATGATAAGGGACAACATCAATCCCTCCAGGGGGAAATTTAAGCATCAAGATAAATATTCTTATTGGCAGAAAGCAAGAAAAACCAGGTGATCCTTCTAATTTTTCCAGCTAATTAGTGCAATAATTCCTCTTAACACATTAGAGACAGAAGCATAAGAAGGAGCCCATCAGAACAGAGAACATAAACACATCCTTTAAAGATGGAGGTCAGTGTTTAAGTCCAGATCTCCTTACCTGGGGTAACGGACAGCAGCCCCAGGAAGAATCATACAGCTGGCAGCACGTGGTATCATCTGGACACTCAGACTCCTGATCTGGGCACATAACCGCCTGAAGTTTTCCAACGAGCTGCAAAATCACAGTGAATAAACCAACTATGAGAACTAAGGTTACTTATACACACAAACTAAACAAAATAGCAGTGGGAAAACAAAGACAAGAGCTGAATCCTCTAGAGCTTAAAAAAAAAAATAATAAAAATCTTAAACCAGCGAAGAATTCTAGACCTTACTTATCACACTGTAACCTTTCTTATAAATACACACTGTGGCACAAACAGTTGTGGAGAGAATACAAACAAAATTCAAAGGCTGCCACCACCGTGCTTCGCTGCTGAGATCCCCGTCTCAGAAATGAGCAATTTTGCTTTTGTTTTAAACCAACCTGGCTTCAAAAGTTTAGGTTCGGCATCATCCGACCATAACAGATGAAACTCATGATTTATCCAGACACATACATATTTTTTTATATAAAAATCCTTAAATCTTTGCAGGGGTGTGTAGATGTTTGAGAGGCTGAGACACTGAATCTTTCCTTGGTCATTAGACGTGTAATAAACAAATTGAGCTGATTCTGATGTATAATAACAAAAGAAATAAAGAAATCATATTCCGAGATGGCATAAAACTTCCAGAAATGATTGGAACCTTAAATTTTCATGACAAAAACATCCATTGCTCCAGACTACAGAAATTCCCAAATAAGACTCTGATAGTTAAAGCAAATATTTGCCTTTTGCCTCACATATTGGTCTCGACTGAGAATACTGAGACACCAGCTAAGGCAGGAGATCAGTGAAGCTTTGCAGACCTGTAAGAAATTTTACTTTACCAGCCAATCTTTAGGAAAGAGTTGGTGTAAAACCTTAAGATGTATAAGTTAGAGTTTTGGAACAGATTTCCCCATCTCTACGTACCCGATTGGTTTGAAGTCGCCTCATCAACGGAAGGGAAACTGTTTTATTCACACATTTCTGATGGACCAGATCACACAGCGTCCCCTCGTAGCAGCAGTGAAGGTGGTCTGAACAACACTCTGCCTGGATGTGGATTCAAGACGGGAGAGAAAAAGTTTAATATAATAAATCTCAATAAATTGTTCCAGCAAAAACAGGTCGCAGATGGAGTAACTGAGTAGTTAGTAGCTCACATTAGGCAGCGGACAGCAGCCATAACCTCCCTGGGTGTTCTTACAACAGGTGTTTTTATCTTCACACATGCCGCCATCAGGACAGATCCGCGCCGAGGTCAGGCTCAGCAGGACCAGCAACAAAACCCCAATGCTAAGAGTCTGAGGAGAAAAAACAGATATCCAACAATGCAATGTGTGGTAAAATGTGATCAGATAACAAGCCCGACACCACTGCTGTCTTAGTTTCAGAGTAAAGAACCAACTATGTGGAAAAGCTGTGCAAACATTACAGCTGATAACGTGGATTTCAACACTCAAGAAACACTGACTTCCCATAAACTAGTTCCCTTTTGATGCAAAACAGATGTATTATGTTTTCCATCTTAAAGTATCATCTCTTTTTTTTTTTTTTTTTTTTTAAATGCAATAAGAGATGATACTTTTTTTAAAGTATCATCTCTTATTGCATTATAAAGTTTGAGTCTGATCCTCAAAGAGGCAGAGGCATAGCCAGAAAATTTTTATAAGGGTGTCCAGGCAATACCAACTGTATACTGAGGGGTGACCAAACGTGGATAGGCACCAGAACCTCAGGGTCAATCTACACTGTTCAACAGGAACAAGCACAACGTCCATATTCCTAAATAAAGAAAAACTATAGTTTCCTACAGCCTTTGCTAACAAATAGATGCATATATTTAAACATCCGTCTAGATAAAAGATATAATGGATAAAATTCTTTGAGGTTTGAGTTTGAATTCTGTACTAATAATCTCTAATGTTGGTATATTGATGTGTATAATTAACCACAGTGTTTTTGTTGTCAAGTTATTGTTGATATATACAAAAATAAAATGTTTTGAATATTCTACTGGAGAGAAAAAAATGGTATGGGTGGCCACAGGGGTGGCCAATGGCCCCCCCATCTAGCTCCGCCCCTGCTAAGAGGATTCACTTTATTTTCTTTAGTCCAACTGATTTTTATATTCTTTTTTGTTTCTTTTATTGATTTGTTTTTTCCCTTGGTTTTATTTTCCTATATTTTAATCATGTAAAGCACTTTGCATTGTCTTTATACTGAATTGTGCTATACAAATAAATTTGCCTTGCCTTTCCTAAAGCATTAAACCCTCATGGAAAAGTCGTAAAACAAAATAAATTATGCAATATAAATGTTTTGCAATCTAAGTTGATCAACAACAAGGTCTAGCTTTAACCGATAAAGGTAATCTAGTCTTTAATACTCAATAATGAGGAAAAAAAAATTTAAAAAATTATTTTAACAGAAAAAGGGAAATAAAACATCTAAATATCAGAAATTTGTAACGCAGATTAAAAAAGCCAAAGTTCAAGCCACGTCCATACCATAAATAAAGACAATGCAGGATGTTTTTCCTTTAAACTTACCATAATGAGTGGATGCTTCAGAGGCAAAAACACTTTAGATGTTATTAACAGACCTCTGATGCATGTTCTCACAGCCTGAAAAAAACAATAACTATGGATTAATTTACATTTTTCTTGGGGTACATTTATTGGCATCCATAATAACATCCATATATATCATTTGTCTAAATACTAATTCAGAAAGGAGCTATTTTCAGCCAACGTTAGCTTCTGTAATCCAAGAAACGGATCACCTAGCTGCTAGCTGCTAACTGCTAGCATTCATCTATTGTTTATTTCTGCCAAAAGAAGAACATATGGCGCCGTTACCTCTTCAGTATGATAGATGCAAAGGATAGAATAAAGAAAATTACTCTTTTTACTGCATCGTCATGAACACAAGACAAAAACAAACAGTATTTAAGGCAGTTATCACATGACACGCTCCCACGTGACCTCCCAGGCTGATCAGTTCTTAAAGAAACAGTGACACACACACACACACACACACACACACACACACACACACACACACACACACACAAAAACATTAACACATAGCCGGTTCTAGACATGGGTCAACGGGGGCCAGTGCCCCTGTAGATGATGCCCTGGTCCTTGTCATGGCCCCTGTCCTGAAGACATAATACTCAAAGAAATTCTAATGATGATATGCGCTGAAACAGACATGGTTACTAATAGGTTAATAGTTTCAGTGGTATTTCATCTGCTAATTTTTTATTTTTTTTTCCAAAATAAACAAACAAACAAAAACTTTTTACAGCTGAATGTATCAGTTTTTTTTTTTAGTTCTAATTCAGATTTTATAGAAAATGGTAATTTTATCTTAAAGTCACTTAAACTTAAACGTAAGTTAAAAATATTTAAAATTCCTAAATTATGAATGTATATATTGACCTAATGAGATATAGAATTTTATTTAAACCTAATTGAATAGAAATTTCCCTTCATGCAACTATATTAGTATATTTGAATCCTTTGCCATGTTTTTTATGAAAACACCCTGGCCCCCTGGTGCATTTGGTCTAGAACCGTCACTGCGTACACACATACACACACGTACACACATGCACCCCCCGACACACACACCTACTCATTCTGCCATTGACTTCCAATGATTGTCAGTTATTTTCAACCCTTTCTATGCCCTCTATTACCAATGCATACCTCTTCCTAACCATAACCAATTGACACCTTAGTCCTAAACCTAACCATTAGCAAAATAGCATGTGAGCACTGGCAGAATGTCCTTACTTTGCAACAACTGGTCCTCAATTTGATGGTGAAATGTGAAGAATGGTAATCACTCTGAGGGCTAGACAGGTACACACACACATACCACTTGTAACAGAAACATGAGTTTCCTGCTCACTGAATTTGTAATAACTGGCACTAAGGGAATGCACTTGCAATCTTTGTAATAATAAGGGTTTTTTGCATATTTGCACATTTTAATAAAATGAAACACCATTGGTTTTCATATATGAAATGTATCAAGCCCAGGTATAACAGAGATGAGGGTTAGTGTGAGGGTACTTCAGAGATCAATTAAGCAAGAAGCCCAGTTGAGTTAAATGGCAAACCTGTATTCTATAACTACATCTCCGCTACATTTCCATCACCAGTAGCTGTTCATATTCAATAAGCATCTAATTACCAGATAAAAAAGCATACGGTGAGCAAATTAAAATATATCAGTCACCAGAGATGCTGATTATTTATTTAAAAAACCTATCCTCCTGTCTTTGTGCAGGAGGTCTTAGTATCTCCAGTTAGTATCCGCCTTTGAGTTCAGAAAAACTTTCAACTAAAGTGAATCTAAAATGCAGATTGTTAGCTAAATGTCATTGTTTGACGAAAACGTTCCTCACTAATATTGTTAGAGTAACATCAACCAGCACTGCTGATTTTAAAGGCCCTGGGCAGATTTTATTGACATAGCAACGCACTAAGGCTGCAATCTGATATAGCAACTACATAAATCTAATGGATGGCAAGAAAAAAATGCTACAAAATTAAGAGAACAGATTGTATAATTTTGCTTAAGGACATTCTTCAATGAAGACCGTCAGTTTCTCCATTAAATAGTTTTTTTTCCAGCATGAATGACTTAATGTTAAAATGACATGAATACAATCATTATTTGATATAGATCGAATTGATGTCAAAAGATTGATCTCAAGTTGATCTACGTTTTTTGAATAAATTATGATAACTGTTTTTTATATCAGTATTTGACGTCACATTGATGTTTATTTGACATCTTTTTCCCACAGGATTTGGATATAACATATCTTGCAAATTGATCCAGCAACACCCACACAAAATCACGCCTCTATTCCCATGCTTCATAGTTAAGATGTTAGTCAGAGCTGCAAGGTCACCTATTTTCTTCTAAAAAAGAATTATGGGTGATCATTTTATTCTTAGATTTGTAAGGCCCTGTTTCAAAGGTTAATATTTTACAAATACGTATTTATAAACTCTACTTTATATTTATTTGCTACTTTTTGGAGTAATAAAAGTTAATATCTCTACAATGTAATTTGCTGTTGTTTATGATTAAAATAAAAAGGTTTGTTACTAAATAGAACCTGTCTCTATGCTGAACATTTGCATGGAGCTAGTTTTATTTCAGTTTTATTTCAGATTTGTCTCTTTACAATATCTTGGCTTATTTCATTTAAGTCCTACTTTTCATGTCATAATCTGAAAAGCTAATTCTAAGGATATCCTTCATCTCCTTTTTTTCAATTAATAGAAAGTCATTTGTTAAAAAATATCCAAGTTTTGTAACTGTAATAAATACATTTTAAAATAGCATCCAGAACACATGCAGACTGTGGGAACAAATTTATTTGTATCTTGTCTAATATACAGAAAGGATTCATTTTACAGTTTACGAACAACTGACCAGGTTTATGAAGCAAATGATTTAGTGCACAGGATGACGGCCTTTAGTTCAGACGTCTTCACCCTCATATGCACTGGTAAAATCCAACAAACTGAACTGCACATGTGTTTCTGAGATACGACTTCACTAAACCAGCTAAAAAAAAATGTGTAAAAGAATTTTATGCAAAGAAAGTCACAAGTTCACACTCTTCAAAAGAAATCCATAATTCTTCCTTATACCATTTTTTTTAAACATGTACCAAAAAGGACAACATAAGTTTATTAGGACCTTTTTATTGTGGTTAATCCTTAGAATTAAGTCACATCCTAAGTTTGTGCTGACACATATAAACAGCAAATGGTTGGGGAAAAAACTGCAGCATGACTCTCCCAACATTTCCATTATTCCAGTCTGTGCAGGAAAAAAAAACACAAAACGTATTTTGCTTCGGTTTACATTTGCTGATGAATCATAGGCAGTGATGATAGCAACAGTGGGTGCATGTTGGTCAGTATGTTATTCTTGTAAACATTTATGACCGGAAGTAAGTTTCATTACAGCAAAGATTGGAGAAACGGCGTTTTGTTAAGTGGGGTTGTGCGGAGTAGGTAGATGCAGTAAGCATGTTATATGTGGTAGAAAGCATTCCAACCAAATTAAATTTAAGTAATCAGGGAAATGTTCAATGGAGGAGTGGAGATATTTTCTACTTCATGTCAAAATTAGCTACCTAGAACTTTGTGCGTCAAGCATAATGGGCCTTACGGAGCTGTCCTCAGTAGTTTGAGAGTTAGCTGAGTTTACTTTAGCTTCACACAGTTATCAGAGCTAGACCTCCTGAGTTGCTGTTTACTTGACCATATTTCCTTTATCCTAAGCCTGAGTAGTTTATTACCCAGAAGGGTAAGGTTATTTTTACTCTGAGCTCCTTTAGTCATCTACCTAGCAGGGACTAGCTATTAGCTGACACACTTAAATGTGGTCATTAGCTAGGTGACTGGCTAGACAATAGCCTCACTGTATTTAAGTCTCTTTTAATTGAGGAAGCTATGAGCTTGACTTTTAAAATCCATTAGGTATTATCTGATTGGGTTTTAGCCTAAGTTATGATAAGCATGATTTTTACTAACAGTTGGGCAAACTTATATTACTTTTAGCATTATTTGCATTTGGCTTTATCATGATAAGCTGAGTCCTCATTGGCTTTCCCTTAGCAAAAAGTAGTTTATTCAAGTATACTAAAAGTGCACTAATTTCATACTTAAAATCAGGCAGTGCACTTAGAGTTTACTTATTCTAAACTGTATTTCATATACTATTGTTTACTTTATTGTTTACTAAAGTATACTTTAGTAAAC